ATTAATTGTTACTCGACTCATCCTTTAATCCCTTAACGCCTTTGAACTTCGTAACCCGCTCCCTTATTCGTGAAACCATCGTGTTTAAAGTAATCACCCGTCAATTCACGCTTGTCATCGTAATATTCCTAGTTTAATTTCACGATCTTTTCCAAAGATGTTTCTCTTCTAAAAAAAATGTTGAACACAAATTCTTAAAATTCATTTTCGATTTTACGAGAATTGGAAAACATTTCTCTCCACGATTTCGCAGTGTATTTATTCAACAATTAAAATAAATTATCTTTCGTAATAAAAAATTCTTCGTCTCTTTTAGTAACACATAACTTCTTTTCTAATTATCAAAGAAGCTTTAAACTTTAACTTCCTTCGTATCTTGTTTTATTCTCGTGTATATTTTTCCTTATGTCAGTAGTTCTCAATTTCTTTATTAAATAAAATTCTCTCTCTCGAATTAATCTCTTAATGAAAATCAAATTATTTTATTTCACATAAATTTGAGGTATAATAGGAAACTGTATTAATATGAATACAGGATTTTATTAAAATTTTTAGATTCTTTATGCTATTTGAAAAAATATTCGAAAAAATAACGAAGACAATATCTAATAAATTTTAAATTATCCTACAGGATCGAAATAATGGCATACGTCGATATTGAAAATAAAATTTGTAAATTTGTAGATAAATTTTATACAATACCAATCCAAGTCTCATTAATGATAAAATAACTGGTTGAGAACCTCTGTCACAATTGATTATATATATAAAATCTATTATCCAATGTTTCATCTCGTTCATCGTTAAAATACGACGATCTTTCTCTTACTTTTAAAACGAGAAACAATCGCAATACAAAAGAAATTTTATTTTATGGTCGATGCATATTTCACGTGACTTTGTACGATCCGTTAGATTTGCATGCATTTTTAACGACAAGGCGCGTATACCGGTGTGCAATTTCGCTAATGGAAACACGTATAAATTCACGATGTAATGCGGCGTCGTTATAATTTTGATGACGCGATGCAATTCAATTTAGGTTATTTAGGTTTACACTTAGGCGCCCTCTATATCAACTATTGGAGATCTAACGTAAAGCGAATAGCAATGCTATTCAAGTATATATAATAACAAGATCTCGTTTCGATTCGTGAATACGTCACGTACATTATATACATCGTTATAAATTAACGATAGGAATTTGTGTGGCGTCAACAGATGGATGAAATGACAGATGATTAATGGAATATGGATTTGAATAATTACTTCGATGTAATCGATCATTTATTTGTTTATTCGCTTGGATTATTATAATTATCATTATCGTAATTATTATTGTACCAGAGACCACCATATACGAATAAAATAGGAACAAATAACAATAAACATTCAAAGGACACCGTGGCTTAAGGGATAGAGGCCTAGCTTTTGAATCGAAAGATCGCGAGTTCGAATCTCACTTGGGACAGTCCATCATTTTTTCTTCGATTTTTAATCATTTAATCGTTACAAATGAAATCAAAATTTCAATCATCTCAATTTTTAATTAAAAACATTAAATGTTGAAGTGAAATTTTAATATTTGTTCTCGATATCTTCGTCATGTATCGATTCCTTATAATCCCCTTTTTCCTTCAAAATCGTCTATCCCGTTTCTATACTTAATTTATCTTAATTAATTGTAAAATCACATCGAGATCGCGAAACGAGAATTAGTCTCGATTCCTCCAATTAAGAACTCGAAGCTAGTTAACCAATGAGGGATCTCTTTCTCCGCTCCTCTTACCAAAGATATCTCTCAAACAAGATTTGTTAAACTATCAAAAGTTGGAGATCGACGAAGATCCGTGATACAACAGTATATCTCTCTTTCTCTCTCTCTCTCACCTGCTGAAGGGATTTAATTTGCTACGAAAGCAGAGACTTCTCTCTCTATATATATATGTAAGTTCGATTCCAAAATCAAATCGAACGAAGATTCGTTGTGTTGCGGGAACTTCGAAAAGAGGAAACTAATATATTCGCGTTAAATCTCTCTTGATTCGAGTTTCGTGAAATGAGAGAGAGATAGATATTATACATCAAGATTATTAATATCTTGGAAACCTAAATTCCAAGTGAAGTGTGTACCGGTGAAATTTCGATCGAGCATCGTTCACCTGGCCCACTCCAACAACTCGAGCTAATTCCTCCCCCTCGATTTTCCAGTGGGGAGCGTGTTTGATCCCCTCGTTTATTAATCCGATAATAAGAATCTGATCGAAAATGAGGGATGGAGAGGAGAAGCGGTTTCACGAGATTGTTAGAGAGAAATTTCGAATCGCGATTAGATAGAAATTTGTGGTAAAGTTTCTAGGAATTATAATTAACCATGGTGCAGGAATTGAAAATAAAATCGATATCGTTGGAAATTGTTGATATTCCTGGAATTTTTCCCAAAGATATTCCATTATTCGAGGACATCGTTGTCCTATTCTACGATGATTTGTAAAGGAACAATGGCGGTTGCCCGAACAATAAAGTCGTCTTCTTCTTCTACCGATCGCAGATGGTTAGATGGTATTGTGCAAGATTCAGATAAGGAGGTATGACAGAATGGAGTTGAAGCTTGCGACAAGATAGAAGGGTTGGTGAAGCGGATGAATAATTCATTTTAACTCGAGGCCAAATTTTCTCAGCCGAATTAACATTTGTGAAACTTTGTGTCTCTTTGGTCTCTCCGTACTTTGCTTTTCACGATCCAGAAATATATATACATGTGTATCCATTTTCTATCAAACACATTTGATCACGCGTTTAAATTCAACAAATAAATTTTTCAATCCATTTTCATTGTCCAATGATTACAATTTATATTTGAATCGAGTAGAACGTTTAAATAACGTTTAAATAATGACAGAAATAATTCTCGAAAGGAGGGCAAATTGTAAAAACCGAGTTTCCCCTAATTGCGAGTATATCTTTTAATTTCCACGACACGCAGCTCGACTTTTCAATTTCATTTAATCATCAATGTCGAGCAAAGATACCGATTTAACGGTTTCCAGTTTGAGGGAAATGGAGAACTTTCGAACAAGGAATTCGTCGCGACAAACTTGCTCCTCCTATTAATAATTCAACATGGTTGTTCCATCTCGAAGAATCTTTACCTCGTCCTCTTATAATACTATATAAATATATATCGTGGATTTGAACTCGCCTCTTGTGTTTGTATTCCATTTCATTCTATTTCGTGAATGAAGAAATGTATCGATACGTAGATATAAATAATTATATCTTAATGTCATTATCCATAGTAAAGCATCGATTATGTTAAAATTTGATGAACGAAAAAATTCATTTTCAAGAAGATTGTTTCGTTTCTCTTCTCTTCTTTTTTTTTTTTTTTTTTTTT